AGCATGTCAACTGCTGTCCAACCAGGCAAAACATTCAGTGGATGCACCTTGTCTAGGATATTGTGACCAACAAAAGTGATCCTTCCCATTGAAAATAAATAAATAATAAAAAAAACCAAAAATCCAGAGGAAGCACCTTGAATATGTAGTTTGATGTTAAAGGGTTAAGTAATTCAAAACCAGCCTGTTGTCAACAGATAGTGCATAATTTGTCCACATATGTAGCAAGAGATAACATGAGACATAGTGAGAGTTTGTCATAGTAAGGTGCTTGGTGATTTGATATAAGTATACGTGGCTAGGGCTAAAGGATATCATAAATTGTATATAAGTAGACCAAGTGCAGTTCATCTGGGCAAAAAAACATCCATGGGAAGCGTCTTGAGATACGTCACATCATACCAAGTGTGGTCCGTCAGAGGAAAAACATCTAGTGGAAGTGCCTTGCCTAAGCTTGTAAGATCAACAAGTGTAGTCTGCCTGGGCAAAAACATCCAGGGGAAGCACCTTGATATGTCCTATTATGCCAAGTGTGGTCTATCCAGACAGAAAACAACCAGTGGAAGTGCCTTCAATACATAGGATTAGGCCAAGTGTGGTCTGCCCTGGCAAAAACGTCCAGAGGAAGTGCCTTGGAATACTATTGAGTGTGTCAAGTGCAGTCCATCTGTGCAGAAAACATCCTGTGGAAATGCCTTGCATAAGAAATTTATTTTGCGATCAGCAAGTGTGGTCAGCCTAGGCAAAAACATCTGTGGGAAGTACCTTGGATCTAAAATATTATGTCATTGCACAGTCAATAAGTATAACAACGATAGCCCTCTTCTCACTGAGTGGGTACATATGAGCTATGATGTTTTATTTAGGTTATTGTACAAAACCCACTCAGGAGGAAACCTCTGTGGTTTATCACTCCAGCGACTGGGAACCGAAAGCAGCAAGGACTCCTTTGCGTATGAAAGCATTGTAATGTTTACTGCCAAATTTTGTTAACATACGCTTAATAATTTAAAAGTTACAACATGAAAACTATAACAAGCACAAAATGGTTAAGAGGTCAGTCCCAGGGACCAAGTCCATGCTGAAAGAGTTAAGGATGCATCTGTGAACAGATGAGATTAGGCCCTGAGATGGGATGATCGAAGGGATCATGGGAGAAGTTCAACTGGTTGAGAAGCGTTCATTGAAGAGAATGCACGTGCACCAGACCTAAGGGAATGAGAGCTTTCAAGGAAGCCCACATCCACCCAAAAAAGACAGAACCCCCCATGCAGAGAAAGTAGTAGAAGGTAGTGCCTTCATGACTGCCCACTCCAAATTGCAGAGCCAAAGTGAAGAAGGTTGGTCATGACTGAGTTGGGAATTGAAGTGAACTCCCAAACGAGAAAACTGACATGGGATAATAAATTATTTCACAACTTCATAGGGAAACTCCACCAAGCAGCTTCTTGAAGAAGTAGCAGGTACAGCTAGTACG